ACAAAAGCCAACTCCTTGAATTATCAAGTTTTTTATAAATAGATATATACTGATAAATTTGATTCTAGAACCTTTGCTAAAGCTGCTGCTCCTGTGTCTCCAATATTATTGTTGTTCAAACACAAAGAAGTCAGAGAAGAATTTGATTCTAGAGCCTTTGCTAAAGCTGCTGCTCCAGTGTCTCCAATATTATTGTCAACCAAATACAAAGTAGTCAGAGAAGAATTTGATTCTAGAGCCTTTGCTAAAGCTGCTGCTCCTATGTCTCCAATATTATTGTTGTTCAAAAACAAAATAGTCAGAGAAGAATTTGATTCTAGAGCCTTTGCTAAAGCTGTTGCTCCTGTGCCTCCAATGTTATTGTAATGCAAATTCAATTTAGTCAGAAAAAAATCTGATTCTAGAACATTTGATGTTGACAAATGTTTATATCCAATCTCTTTTAAGAATTTGTTTAATTGAATTGAAGAGTTTGACTCTAATGCTTTTGCTAATGCAATTATTTCAGTGTCTCCAATATTGTGCCGACTCAATTCTAGTCTTTTACCAAATTGTTCATCATACAAACACTTTAATTGCTTATATACTTCTTCACTTGATGGTCTTTTGTCTGGGTCACCATTCCAGCAATTTGAATATAATTCAATGTACTTTGCTGGTGTTTCTGGAAAAGGAGGGTCTCTCAGGCCTTTCAATCGATACAATACAATTGCAAAACTTTGAGTGCGTCCTTCACATGGGCTCTTGCCACTAGAAACTTCCCATAATATTACTCCAAGACTAAAAATGTCTGACTTTTTCCCTCGTTTATATGATTCATTTTCAAAAGTGACAGGGTCAATATATGCTGTGTTACCTTCACCTTTGGATGTAGAAGTAGATTGCTTTAGCATATTAGACAGACCACAGTCTGTTATTTTCGCGACGCCTTCTTGAATAAGAATATTTGCTGAAGACTATGCGTGAAGAAAATTCAGCATTGTTATAATGTAATAACAGTAATTAGATCATTATTCTGTACTAACATATATAAATAGATAACGTCATACCAAATCTTTGTGAATTATGTCAAGCACATGCAAGTATTTCAGCCCATTTGTAATGCCGAGCCCCAAGTTATATTTCTCTTTCCATGTCAAGTCCTTAAAACGGTCTACCAAGTATGCCCGCAGACTTCCCCCGTCAGCGAATTCAAATATCATGTGATAGTGTTGGTCCGCATCTGATTGTATTTAACAGAATGAGTCGTCGATATTTACAATTAGAAGTCACATTCCTTGTAATAACATACCGACCTTTGCATAAACCTAAAAACCGGATAACGTTCGGATGGTCATCTACCTTCTTGTGAGCTTTCAGCTGACACATATAAACATCTATTGTCAGATACACGTTACTGATGTGACATAATCAACAACAGCAGTAACCACAAACCTCATTGACAAACTTCTTGTACAATTCTTGCTCATCGACATACACATCCAGCAACAACATTTTCATAGCAACAGTTACGCCAGTATGTTTCAACTTTGCCTTGTACACGACTCCGAATCCACCACGGCCGACAATCTTACGGTTTAAGATTTCACTTTCTGAATAGCACTTGACCATTCCATCCTCAGTTACTTTATCCAGCAAAGTCTTGTCCATACTGGTTTTGTTTAATATAGTATCGCATCATCGATATCTGAAGTGCTCCGTTTCTCATTTATGTCGTACACGATGTTCAATGTCACACAAATACATATTTATAAAGCGTTACTGATCGGAATAGCTACAACGTTGTAACAATAATTATTGACATTACGATGTCAGCCCTAAATGCGTATAACAACAGAGTTTGTTATAAAGATATGCTATTTAAAGTTTGTAAGTTTTAGCATAAAAAATAAATAATCTATATAAGCGCAAGTAACTTGTGGTATTATTACAGTACTTGTATTGCATCATTGCATTATATTGTTCGCATACACATGAATCTTACCTCATGATACAAATAGTAACAAATTACTGCCCGTCGATTGTGGCAATTAAACATTACTTCATAACGTTTTGTTTTGTCATAGGTAATCGTATCACAATGTAAACTCCGTCTGATAGCATTCACATACGTCAAACATTGAAGACATCGCATGTATCACTGTCATAAGGAGGAGAATTGTATAAACACAAGTGATCGAAATAAAGTTTATTCTCCCGAAAAACTGTCAATGCCGAAGATTAGGAAGCGTAGTGTGAATTATCTTTAAAACAATTCACTCAGTGAATGTAATTGAAGCGTGCGCATAGTATAGTATTGGTTAATTTTAAATGTTGATTCGTAATTGACATGCATAGAATAATCGTCAAATTGTATGATTAGCGTAAACTTGTTCATCAAGCGATAGACAATGCACAATAACATGCTGTATCATGGCTTAAATCAAATTCTCTATATAGTAATAGGGATGGGTAGTAATTTCATACGATCCGTTAGACCAAATTTGGTGGACAAGTTGGCTGGTAGATGTGTGCCGCACTACTTCAATGAAAAGTTGTTGATTTTTAATATATTGATCGCACATCCTGTATTAATAGAAGTCAAAGCATATTTTCACAATGAACCACCATTCCGGAATGGACATAAATTCCAATCTGACATATGTCCGTTCTAAACTGACATATTAATATGTCCATTCGGAACTGACATATGTTCATTCCGATGAACATAAAGTCCAATCTGACATACGACAATGATTTCTTATTCAAAGCGAAAAGTTTGTGAACATCTACATATAGATACCTGAACTAGTAAACCAAGTCAACATGGCGGTTTTTTCAGCATTGACTTTATAAGTCGAATATTGATAACTCAAGCATCTCTTCAGTTTGATCGCAAGACAGAAGCATCGGTATAATTTTAAAATCACATAAATAAGCCTGTTTTAAGCATTGATTTTAATGTTAATATTCGTTGGCATTGACCTCTGCCTCTCTGTGCTACTATTTACATCTCATTATCATTACTATTTTCGCAACTCTACGGATTAAAGATCTCATTAACGAAAAATTTTTTGCCTTAAAGTCAACTGTCATATCAGATGTGACTGATTTATATTTAACAATCTTGTGACAAAACATCCTTTATAAGATATTTGTTGGGCCCGAGCACTTTCTTATATGCAGAGCCGCTTGTATTTGATTGTTCGTTCATTAGATAAACTGCCAGTCGCTAATTATTCGTAAAAAGTAAACTTTACATTTCCTATTATATTAGTATTATACCCAAAGCAATCATATTTACCCTCGATTGAACACGAACAACACAATTTTTATTCTAATATCCAAATTGTTCATAATATCGTTTCACAACTTCAAAGTTCAAGAAGTTGTTGGCGTTAGTCTAATTCTGATTGTATACATTTACGTTATATCGTACAAGAAACAGTTTATCAATTATGTTAGACATTTCGAATTGAGGAAGTACTGATAAATAAGTTTAAGTAGTTATTGTATTAGGATCTGCTTTTCGTGAAACAACTCGTTGGTATAAATGTGATTAAATAATACGAATACGTCGGCTTTTGTCATAATGACAATGGACTATTTAACAGTTGGAGCTTAGTGTTGCTTGGCATGTATTTATAACATATGCAAGAGTTTCTTCAATGCGCCATTGCTTACAGGTATCCGATCAGCAAATGACCTTTGTCCAAAATTTGGGGGCCTAATGCTGAAGAGTTTTGTTTACAATATTACAATTAACTACAATTGGTTATCCGATTATCGACTATTCGTACGTGCCAGAAAACCGCTAAAAATAAAACCCACGTTTTATAACGACAATCACGCTAACCGGGTTCTGCAAATCCAATGGCTTAGTAATCTGTTGATTTTTGCCAAGAAGAGGTTTATTTTTTGCCCCTTGCAGGAATATAACCAAAAGTATAATTGATCGGATCCAATATACTGCCAGACGACATGTTATCTCATTCTTTTATCATGTGTCTGATTAGCTTGCTTGTTGTGATAATCTTTAATATAAAATGTTGTGCAACAATCAAGGAAGTTAGCGATACTAAACTAGAATTGGAGCACTGGTTGGATGAATAAAAATATGTGTGCATATCCATTCCACCACTCTAACGTTACAAGTTGAGAACGTATTTCTACATTTCCTAGACAACTGTTATTTGAAAAGTTGAGCAAAAGCTAACGATTTAAAATAAAGGTCATACTGTATTCAAGTTATTATTAAAGCCAGCAACGTTTAACGCTCGATTAGCAAACATTTATAGACTATGGCTTCTAAGGAATTTTCTTATTCTGAAGATCCGAGACTCCTCAATTGCATAACTTTCTGCTCACGTGCGGATAGCAGATAACTCAAACAGGCAACGTGAATAGACGACAAACGTTTGAATCTCGGAGATATAGTCCTGAAAACGATATATGATGTAAAACAGAATACCATGCTTGCGTAATGATATGGTGGCTTGGCAGCGTTTCCGTGTATCCATTTTAAAAATGGTGATTGCGCATAATGTCCCGTGGATGCATCATTACTTTTTCTATTTTAGGATTAAACAAGTACTATTTGATTTAATTTATCATTCCCAAGACGATCGATTGTGTAAGGGTCTCAATGTAGTCGATGCGGGTACAATTTGTGACACTGACCTGCATGAGTCCTAAGGTAATCATGTAGTCAAGGGCTTGCCAAATGTGGTATAGTATCAAGCGCCAGGGGAATTGATATAGACACATAAGGAAATTCATAGCACGTTTATTATCAGGATTTCTTGCTAATACCAATGCAATCATTTTCCAAATCCGATGCTCTTGCGCGAAGACGATTGCATCAAAACACATTGTATACGTTTATGACTACTCAAGAAATAGCCTGTTCGAATGCCTATATAAAGAACACATGCTCATTTCGCTCCCCCAGAAAAACACTCAAACATTTAAAACAACAAACTAGCAAAACTTGAAATTTAAATAATCAATCGTTATATACCATGTCTACTTCTCAATACGTTCCGATTAAACCAGCAACTCCAATTGGCGCTCGCTCTTCTTCCACTGAATCAGCTTCCTCTGACCTACCTCTCGCTTCCCTAGCTGATAGTCCACTCTCGTCTTTTGAACGAAATCTTATTCGCACTCCGCCATATACTCTCACACTTTCACCAGAGTCCCTGCTCGATCCAACAAAAAAATGTCGTAAAAATCGTGTTAGAAAAAGCACAACCCCACCTCGTCCTCAAAATGCCTGGGTGATCTTTCGCAAAAACTTTGAAGGCAGACTGCGTGCACAAGATCGTAACAAGACTTATACTATTCAAGAAATTTCTAAAATGGCCGGAAAGGATTGGAAGAATCAGCCAATGGAAGTCAAGCAGTATTTTGACGCACTTTCCAAGTTGGCTCAGCAACGGCACAAAATGACTTATCCTGATTACAGTTACAAGCCGAAAAGAAACAAGACGGAAAAGAAACAAGCGGGCTGGTCGTTTAAAGAAATTAGCAAAGAAAAGCTTGCGGGACGTAGGCAGAACAAAGTCGCAAGTCCGGGTGAAGCGGAAGTGGGAGGGAACGATGGCGATGCACGTATTAGCGTTTGTGACAACGTAAATGAATATGACGAGTTAGCTGTTGATCATGTGAACATCGGAGAGCCGTATCTGGATCTGCATTGCGAAAACGATAAAGGCGTTTGTATAGATAATAATATTAATGAATACAATTTGACAGACAACTCGTACAACAAAATTACTCAATTTGACGACATTAATATTACTAATACCTTTGATCCTTTTGTGTCACCGCAACTGAACATCCTTCACGGTAACTGGAACAACAGCGGCAACTATGACACATCAACAATACATAATACCACTCTATTTGCAAATATTACGAATATTACCAACAATCTATCACCAGAAAATACATACCAGACAGTTAGCGCGGGCGATCACGACTTTTTAAATATTCCTAACAATGGACCATCAACCTGTTATCCCGCCACTCAGATGCTTATTCAGCTACCTCCCTCTGCTATCATTTGTCACACTGCGGATCATGGATACATCGAAGCCCCCAGATGGGCGGATGGAAGCGGAATGTATGTCAACAACGGATTTGATGTTTACTTTGGACAAACTAGATAGGTTGTATTATAAATATTTATGATAGATAAACGCAGATAACCTCTTGTATGAAAATTACAACAAGCTCGTTATGCATTTAACATTTGTACCAAGATTTTATCTATTTAAAGCTAGTCATAAGAATGTAACACCTTATGTAAAAAAAAATTCATCTATTTCAAAGTTTTATATTTAAAAACAACAAGAATTTATGTATTGTAGCTCGTTGAATATTTCATCAACGAATATGCATGGTTATCTAACCAATAATATGGTCCTTAATTTGCGATGAGCAAAAAATCCATGAATAAACGAAAACTATTTTGTGAAACGAATGCTTGTGATTGTTCCTTTCAAATATGGATTTCGAGTGTGAGAAACAGTGAACGTCGATAAATATCTATGGTCCCTTTCTTTACATATCTTCAACTAATAGGAAAGGTTTGGAATATAAGCGTAGTATCACGGCACACAGCACACTGCACACTGCACACTGCACAACTGCACACTGCACACTGCCCTGTACTAGTTACTTGCTAAAATAGGGCAACAGTCTTGGCGTGGCGTTCTACCTGATTAGACGGAAATCGCGTTTTCTAGTTACCGAATAACTTTATGCTTATTATTATTATTATTATTACTCTTAGATGAGGAAAAAAGAGACCGGCTTAGCATCCCCAATTAGAATGTCGTATACCGTACCACAACCAAACCCAAATTCGCTTAAATTTGATAGAAAGATAACACACTTTTTCTGCGGCCGTGTTGGAAGAAGGGAGAAAGTTGGTTAATAAACCCATTTTTGAACTGCGGATCATCTCCATAGTGGTAGAAATTCAAAACCCCCCAACACGTGTAGATCATAGATGACGCCAATCCATTAACCCATTTATAACTTGTACTGTCATTGTTATCAATCAGAAATTGGCAATGACAGAATATATATAGCTTGTCTCCTTTCATGTCTGCAGTACATCAAGTTCATCAAGCGATCGCTACAATTTCCTATAACCCATTCTTTACTGATTGTCGTTTCAATATTTTTCTTTTTCTGGAGCCTTCATGTAGGTTTTAAATGAAGCGGAAACGTCATACATGTTCTATTATTCCTGGAATAAAAAGGCGTTTTTCGGAAATGGAAGGGGTTCAAAAAGGTATGATCTTGAATCCTGACAGTTGGCGTAACCTGACCATGAAAAAATAGCCTAAATAAAATTTCATACTACTTATAGTGTTTAAAGTCTGGGATTTATTCAAGTTGCCAACATTAGTACTGGAAAACAGGCAGCATAATATCATTCATTTACATTATTCGATATATCCTATAGAGTTGTTTCTTCTTCTTTTTCTTTTTTTATTTTCCCTAACAAATCTTCTCATGCGGGGCAGACTGCTTGCCAAATAATTAGCCGCCCGATGCAAGCAGACTTTTAATCACCATCATGCATGAGCGGTAGTCAAAACCGTGACCTTTTTTGGAGTCATGCGCGAGATGGCGTCTTTTGTAGAAGGACGTATAATAAAACAGATATGCATTTTGTGACTATTAAACGTGAGAAGATGATTTTAATAATTTCTTTACTGAGTCTGGCCCGAGATCTTAACTGATTAACGATTTGTGGGTAGAAAATGATGTACCTCAGTTCGGAGGGTCCGTCTCAATTTGGATCGAAACAAGTGAGTTCGGAGCTGATGTGACTAGGTTCTGAACTGAGGCAGGTCACAAACTCAGACATAAGAGAAACGTGCATTGAATAAAGTATGTAAATATATTGTAGTTAAGGTTATTGGTTAATTAATAATATCACTAATTAAAATTTTCAATAACATTAGTTAAAAGCAATTTTTTATTACTTAGAATATCAACAGAATATTATAAATAACGTTAAAAACCGAAAAGGAAATTAAAAAACGCAAGCGTAGTCCCGAGTGAAGTACTAAATGGCATTATGGACTTTTCTATTTCGAAAGAATGAATCGAGACAATAATATTCAAAGGCTCCGTAACCGAGGTTGAAATACATAAATTTTAAGCTGTTATCTAAATCACTCCAATTTACCGGTAAAAGAAAGACGAGGCGTGATATGATGGACAGTGGGTAACGCGATATGCGCAGCAGCACAAAGCTGTCGTATCGAAATAACAGTCTTTCCTCCGAATGATAACTATTTACCAAAGAACATAATCCTTTCTCGAAACAAATACCAATTGCAAAATGAATTGGAAAAAGTTTTCCCGCTGCGACGCCGGGCTTATGCAACCTTTTTATTTTTCTGTCAATCACATGAGATTTTCGATAAAAATTCACACGTACGGACTTTTCATCGAAATCGGGACCGAATTATAGAATGTTGCCTAATGCCATTCATGGACGTTATTATTATAAGAGGAATTGGTAATAGTACGAATTATGATATATATTATTGGGTTCATAGGAATTTCGTAAAGATTGCACATGATGTGCTCCCGTTCTGAGATTCGGGAGTGTCACATTAGAGATAATGTCTTGACCCAATAAACTACATCGTTTATGTGATAACATCGAAAATATGTGATAATCTTGAAACGGTTTGACCAAATCCCAAGGATGAGATCTCAAGCACAAACGCTATATTAATAATACAAGCAACGATAATAATACTAATAATAATTATTATAATTTTCGGTGGCCCTCCTTCAAGTGTAGTCTTTATTAGGGAAATCTTTTCTGTATTATCAGAACGTTAATTAATTTCTCCACTTGTTTAATATGAATGGAAGTCGAATATGTCATTATCCACATTTGACCAGAGCAGAATTCGACGACGCGGCAAAACATTTCCTCAGACAAGCACATCATGCAGGAGGAGAAGATGCTGATTGGAAATGGATCGAGCATGAGGTGATCAGGGAAAAAACCGTTTTGTTTGTTTAGCTTGAGAATTGGGAATGATGGGGGAGAGAGAGGGGAGGGAGAGAGGGAAAGGCGGAACAAATCGAATTTTAATTCTTTTCGTTAGAGAGTAAAGGGATTTGGATATCTGGCCACGAGAAGACTGCTTTACAGACCTACCGCTCTCCAAAACTCGATCGATCAAGACAACGACGACACTGATGACTCTGTAACTGTCAAGGAAGAACCTGATCAGAGCGTGAGTTGATCGAATTTTTTTTTTTTTTGCTGAGCACACTTTCGGTCTTTCGTCAGCTGAAACGTCTGCTCGTTCTTGTTTTCTCTCGCTCAGTCCATCGATGTCCCATCGGAATGCTTGACTGTTGATTATCACATTATATACTCGTCGTCGTATCGCGTTCCCGTGCTTTACTTCAACGCTTATTATTCAAATGGGAGTCCCTTGTCTATTGATGATATATTTTCTCACGTTATTGAACCGTCTCGTAGGGACGATCTTAGGACGGCTGGGTTTAATGGGGCAGTGTCTCAGCAGGTAAGACAAAGAACAAAAAACAAAATCACATATCTAGCAATGCGGTTTCTACATGTATGATATCTTTTTTTTTCCCTCACTTTTGTTTAGGATCATCCTACTCTAATGATCCCATTCTATTATCTTCATCCCTGTGAAACTCCCTTCCTCTTAAAGAATATCGTTGACAACACTCGGGAATTGAGCGAAAAGTCGGTCGTTCACGTTGATGGATATCTGCGCAGTTGGTTGAGTTTAATTGGACCAACCGCTGGAATAAAAGTAGGAATTGGACTTTTTTTGGATTCGAATTGAACAAGGAATTTTGACAATAAACTTTACAAAAAATTGCTTTACTAATGAATTAGTGATTACATTACAGCTATCTTTTAAAATGCTTTTGTTTTCTTGATACTTTCGCATCATTGTCAATATGTCCGTGATTAGCCTTTGCTTTAACTCCCTCCGCTTCTGCCCTCGATTTACTCTTTGTTTTTTTCTTTTCTTTACTTTCCGTGTCCTCATCTTCCCGTTTCACAATCTTGCTAACCATTTCATCCCCCACTTTTGCCTTACGCTTCTTCTTTTCACCGCTCTTCGTCTGATCGTCCTCGACCTTTACTGTCACTTTATGTTTATCCTTGGCTTTCTCCTCTCCCTTCTTTTTGCCTTTCTCATTACCCCCATCTATGTGTTTTTCCCTCTCTCCTTTATCTTTGCCTTTATGTCCACCCTTTTCCTTTTCCTTCCCTTTATCTACCACTTTACTTGCATGTTTCTCACTCTTCTCCACCTTCCCTTTGCCTTTCTCCTTGACTTTATGTTCACCCTTTTCCTTCTCCTTCCCTTTCTCTACCATTTTATTTGCACTCTTCTCCCCTTTCGTTCTGCCTTTTTCTTTCTCCTTCTCCGTCTCTTGGTTTTTGTGCTTTTCCGTCTGCCCTTTTTCTTTATCATTCGCTATCGATTTAAATGTTTTCTTCGAGCTTTCCCCTTTCTCTTTTGTAATCGCATTGTCCTTCCCTATCTTTTTATCTTTAGGCTTTTCACTCTCACTCTTCTTTTTGTCCTTCTCATAAACCTTTTCTATCGCCTTATCTTTATGCTTCTTCTTTTCCCCTTTCTCCCTGTCCTTATCTTTATGCTTCTTTTCCCCTTTTCCCTTGTCGACTGTTTTTATTTTCTTCTTGGCATTTTCAACTGAACCATCTGCAGTGTGAATTTATTAACGAATTAGCAACATATGCCATATGGCATGCGCGCAAACACTGGACATGAATGATACTAACCATTATGATCAATTTTCTTCCGTTTTTTATCCCTGACTTTTTCAGACTGATCGCCTTCCTTCTTTTCCTTTATATTATCGACGAGACCAACTGCGCGCGTAACAAAATGTCAATACCATGATAGTGTAATAAAAAAACTACATGACAATATGGATACTAACCGTCAAGATCATCCGCTTTTTCCTTTTGAATCATGCTGATAGAATTTACTAAGAGCGTAATTGATTGTCACATATCGTTAATTTTGTAATACAAATCGTCCATCAAATATCAATGTAAACATTCTCACCATTAGTATCATAGTCTTCAAATTTCTCTCCAGGCGCAAGAAACTTGTCAAAGTCTTCATTCGCATCAAAGATGCCCATATCGTCCATTTCGTTCCACTGAGCTTTTCGTGATTGCACTATAAAACATGCAGGACAGATTTGATTGTAAACGGATACGCACACGAAAATGTCCGCGTTATCTTATTCCATAGTGCCTACTTACACTTTCCAGCCGTGTCCTTTCTTACTTGAGTCAAGTATGGCCCAGCAATTTCGTTACCAGCTGTCGCATGGAAAGCATAGCGACCGCTTGCGTTCTTAGCAGTAGCCCATTTCGCCCGTTGTTCTCTCCCTAAACCCCAATAAAAAAATTTTTTACACAGTCAAGGCCTTATTTGCAAAATGCAGTATAAACAAACATAACAATGCCCAAATTTCTGGCCTCATATCACATACTCTTTATCCGCTCTTCATCCTTGTCTTTAAATTTCGACAATTCTTGATCTCTCAGTTTCCATTTCTCATCGTTCGCGCGACTCATTTCTTTAACTCTGGCTATGACGGCTTGTTTGTACGGTGTATCAACCCACTTTTCCTGTTCCGACTCGCCCGTGTTATGTCCATATGGTTTGAACTGATACGAAAGCTTTTCCGGTTGACGAATTGTATTTTGATGAGCGTCACGAGCAATCTCGGCTGATTTTATATAATCTAGGGAAAGAGGGGCGAGTGATAGCGAAAGAAACCTTGAAAATGGTTTCGGTGCTGGTAACAATATGTATATCAGTGGAAAGTCATACAAAATAAACATTTCTTGTTGGTCATAAGAAAAAAAAACACAACTTCACTCTTTTTTTTTTTTTTTTAAATCGAAACTATATACCTGCAACCAACTCGCCGTTATTGTCTTTTTTCGGTACCAATAGTTTAAACGAACTCATCTCTTCAGAACCGAATAAAGCCGGATCGGATGGTTCCCGATTCTCTTGTTCGCTATTACCATCGACATTGGCATCACTGTCAACTTTTGCCAGATCGAGGAGTGAGTACTCTTGGTTTGACTCGTCTACTATCGTAGCCAGGCGGTTTCCCGTCTTTGATATTCCGGGGAGGCTTATTGACAGTTGATCCAGAGTTGACGATGAAATGGTCTGCATAAAAAAATTTTTGAACGATTGGATGGTAATCAGAAAGGAGCAGAACAATGTATTTTCATAATCAAATGTTGCATTCAATGCATGCATTATTAAAAATTTTGTCAATCTGGCAAACCGGTACTTTACCCCACTGGGAATGCGAATCAACCATAATTGTTTCTTATCCTTTGCAAGTTCCTCGTAATCAAATGGCGATGATTCAATATGCTTGATTTCACTATACCCGCTCGGTATGTCAACACTTGTTGACTCGGCTCTTTTTTTTTTTCCCCCAAATATCACCAATGTCAATATTTCGCTAGCAAAATTCGAAGAATGCAATAGACGGACACTTACACTGCACTCGAATTTGCATTCGGAGGACGATCCACAGTATCTTGTGTGGACATATAAATTCCTTTATATTGTAATATTCCGGGCCTGAATGATTGAGTACTGAATTATACTTTCGCGCGCCCTTAATATTAACAGTAAAAAAGACTGATCCAAATTTTACCTCTTTGACGTTACACAGCATGGGACTTTTGGATCAACCAATACATACAAGTTTTAATTATATGGCGTTTGGTCTTTACAAACCGTTTGAAGAATGGACCTCGATCATGCAACACCGACATCCTCTACAACCTCCTCGCCAGCACCGGACAGTCGCTCAAAGACGAATGGTTCCGTGCGGAGTATTCAGGTGATCTTTCGTTAACGATACCCGACCGCTTTCGCAGTTGTTGTTGCTTCGGTTGACCTTTTTTGTTACCCGTTTTATAGGACATTTTGAATTTAGACTCGAAATCTCCATTGACCAGAGAAGACGAGGAGAAAGATGAAAGGGAAGATATCAGAAGAGCCAATTCCGCGCATCCGGATTCAGCCGTTCCAGTACGCGAATATTTAAACAGGACAGTGATTAAGAATTTGTTAGAGGGGATGAAGCTTCTTATTAGAGATCGGTAAGCGTAATGCTTCAAAGCAATGATTCTATATTTCTTCCCCCCCGTTTGTTACGATTGTGCTTACAGTTGTTTCTTACCGTGACTCTGATTTTTTTGTTTTGGTACTGTTGCAGTCCTCCGAATCCATGTGAATTCTTGGGTCGATATTTAATAGAACACTGCGATCACGATCATATCAACAATGGGAGCAATCACGACAACAGTATTAGTAGTAGTAACAGTAATAGCAATAATAATAATTCTAATAACAGTAACAGTAACAGTAACAATAACAATAACAACAACCATAATAAAGAGATGCACGAAAGCAGACGTGGAAGTGCGAGCAGTTTGGATATTGGAACGGAGAATGACGTATCTGTATATACACCAAGAGAGGATCCAATGGGGACATTCAAATATCAGTGAATTATTGTCGGTGGTTTTAATGAATGTTTATTGCTTGGTTTCTTTGTCATGCAAGCAACAAATATGAACTTTTGTCAAACACCTTTCTATTATAATAAATCTCGTCGTCCATCTACTACTCCTGGGTTTCCATGTCTTGACTATCAATTATATGAATCTCCGTCGACATGTTAGTCAGAGTCTACGATATGATATTATTTATTCTATACGTTGAAATGTTCTAAAGAAGTTATTTGATCGAGAATGTCACCATCACTTTCATTTTATCTTCTACATTAGCTCAGAGCATTCTCAAAGCATATTTCTGCCGTCTCATTAATAATACTCGGTAAACCATTCCACATCTTATCACCCGACTTCCTCGTTATCACATTAAACGAAACGCAACAATCCATCTCTCTCCATACCACAAGCAATTCGGAATCATCTTATAAGAAAGTAAAAAATGAAAATAAAAGCAACAATAATTATAAAAATCCAAAACAAGGTGAATTGTCCACTTTGTGTACTTGATAGAATTTTTAGCCGGGAGACAGCACCGCCCATCAAGGTACGTGTTTGAGAGAAATCAGTGGCCTGTATTGGAAAAGGAAAGTATTGAAAGTCAGGACCAGAAAAAGATCAAGTTTTTTGGGGGAAAAGCACGTTACTAACCATGCCCTCTGATAGCCTTATTGATTCTTTCGCGGCCTCACCGATGTTTAAACTTATCTGATGCAACAGAGAAGATGAAGCAGTAAACGTCTCAGTATAAGCACAAATGGGGTGACAACAGTTTAACTGACGAATGACACCCTTCACATTTTTCACCATCACTCTCCATACTAGTCTTTCCAACAAAAGGGAGAAGCAAAGAAACTGACCTCTTTTAATAATCGCACTTTGCTGGTCAACCCCTCGATCTTTTCATCGTTCTGACTCTCCAGATCTAGCTGTGTGGCTCCTGTTGGATACTTTTCTCTCGACTCGGATCCATTGAATAATGCGGATCTCGTTTCACGGTGGTTTAGGGTAGAGTTGGGTCTAATATAAGAAATAAGCATGCGAATCAGCGTTAGTTTGGAATTGTCGGGAGGTAGAGCCAGAAGCAACGTCGGTTTAATGTACATCTCTCGGAGGCTTGGGGAATAGTCGAGTTGAATCTTGTCAATCTACCTTGCCATAGGGTTGCTTCCGTTCATCTATAATATTACTGTTTTTCGAAAACCGGCTTCAAAACTGTAATAGTAAATAAATAATACCAAACCAGCCATTGATTGTTGAACAACGCACATTTGATTTGCATATTCTTGACATGTGATTTGATCATGTGCGCCTTTTTATGAAGCAACAACTGTTTTTCCTTATTTGAATGATATAATAAAAAAAGCATTCTCATTTCTTTATGACATTGACGCGGTTTTCGTATCATTACAACAATTTATCTCATGCTTTTCAATCGTATACGTAATACTACAAGTGTGGACTTTATGTAGTGCGACTGACATAACAACTAGATGTTAATAAAAATAATGCGGTGGATACTGACAGTAAAATTACGGTAAAATTAGTGTTGTTTTTGCATGCAATATAACCGTACTAGGAGAACGAGTATTCACGTGTGAGGTGTGCGAAAATAAAGTCCACACTTGTAGTATTACGTATACGATTGAAAAGCATGAGATAAATTATGGAAATTACCGTGTGTTTTTGTATTAGCGTTTATTTCTTGTCACCGTTTCTGCGCAAACATTCCTATTTCCAATAACGTCATACCTATTTACCGGCCAACCCTATTTCTCGTAAGCGATGGACAACTTTACGAAGCCAGAGAAATTGTTAAATTAAATGACAAGACCATTACGTATTTCAGGTATTACATGTAAACAAGTTGCTCAATTATATGAATAATAAATACAAGGGCTATTAATATACCAACTTTACTAAAAATTTATAATGTACCGAAGATATCTGGACAATGGTCTTGCACAAACTTTTAAGGATATAGAAATTCTGTTCAAATTTTTGTGCCAAGAACGGTACGCAATACTTTGAAAGGATACAGAACGGAATTTAAATTTAGAGTAGTATTCCTTAATCTGTAGTCTAATTTTGGGCATATTTGACCTTTAATTTTGTTGAGAATGTTACTACACTCACTACCAAAAAGTATTGGCCGAAATGTCGATCACCTGAAATCCGTGATAAAAGAATGTGTATTTCAATTG